TCGAAAGCCACCAATTAAAGTTCTAGCAAAATACTGTATAGAGCTTGATTCAGAAACATGTAATTATACGTAAAAATAAGTAAAGCACATCGCAACCAACAGTTGAGAGCAGAATGGAAGGTGACAAATGAGGGCAACTGATCTACCAGGTTCTAACGCGTAAGTCAGGCAAGAATTAAATGACCTCAGCAGTTTTCTGTTGTTCTCATTACACAAGCAATTCACATTCGTTGTAGAAAACCTGGAAAGCATTAATACGGACAAACACAAAGGAAAAAAAGGTAAACCCATCACAAACCCGGCAGGCAGAGGCGGACACCGTCGGCTCTGGTGTGCTTCCACTCGGCCTTTTCGTATTTTCTGCTGCGACCACACCCTCCGTCCCTGGAGCTAGCCCTGCGCACTCGTGCTGCAAGCGTTCTCCCAGCACAACCGCAGGTCTGGCTTTCAAACGTTTCCCTCGGGATTTCCACAGCTCTGCTCATGTCAGGAGGGTTTTGGAATTCTCTTCTGAACTACCCTTCCAGTTTTTGTGGGTTTTGTTTTGATTTTGACCAGTTATTCAAGCATCATAACCGTGACATGTTCTGTTCTTTGCTGTGTTCTAGAGCAGCTTAACCAAACAGGATTTACCTGTTCTCCGGAGGTTCGCAAGTGCTTACCTATGAAACTGACTGGGATCAGCATCTTTTTCTTCCAGTTTTTTTTTTCAGGCTAGTTCACTGACAAAACTTTTCAATTTATTGCCTGGTTGTTCATCTACTAAATTAACTTTCATAATTTCCCTTTTTCTAGAAAATTTTTTCTTTCTAGAAAATTATCAAACTTAGTAGCATAAAATTTTATATGTAAGATAATTTTTAAATGTTTTTGTTATCTTTAAATTCTATTTCCCATTCCTAAAATCACATATTCATCTTTTAAAAGGGCCAGAGCTTGAATTTAATTCTAATTTACCTATTATTGCTTTTATTTTTTAATTGAAGTATAGTTGACTTATAATGTTGTTCATTTCTGCTGTACAGCAGTGATTCAGTTTATAGATATATATTTTTCATA